ACTTTTAAAATAACACATTAAATAAGAAGCTAGCCCCAGGTCTAATGGCCACCATGGTTTTACGGTTGTGGTGGGAATAAAGTGTATTTTGAGCTATCTGCAGTTATAATGTGTTCTAAGAAATCTGTGATTTCTGTTGGTGCCAAAGCCACAGGTTTGTTAATATTACTGTGGTTTGTTGACTTATGTTGATAATTAATGTAACTTCTTCATTTTGGTTAAATGTTAGTGGAAATGAAGATGTCTCTTCTTCCCACCCATGGTTACAGCCCCTACAAGGTATGGGGACCCCAGGTGAAGAAATTCTCCCCCTCTCCCCCTTACCCGTTAGCCTCTTGGTGCTGAGACCAGCACACAGCACAGTGCCTGACATGGCATGATTCCTCCATAGCTGTTACCTGAAATAAGTGAAACACAAAGGGGGAAAAAGACATTTGTCCAATGCTTATGATTATTGCTAGGGCTTTTTGCCTCTAATGTCATCGACCCTCCGATTAACTGCCAGACAACTCTGGATTTCTCAGAGGAGGGAATGGGGACTCAGGACAGCTATGCAGCAGAGCAGAATTTAAACTCTGGTCTGTTTGACTCCAAAGTTCACATTCTTTCCACCCTCACATTGTTGTCTTTTACAAAACTTTTCTAGGTCCAGAGAGAAAAACAAGGGAAGTCCTTTCAGATATCTGATGTCTCCAGACTTCTTACAAAGACTCCATAAAACTTCAATTCTCTCATAACTCAGTGAGTCTAACTTACAAGGATACCTAGTTGAAGTTTATGAAAATTTCTTTATCTAGATGTAAAGTGGTCTTGTTTCTATGAGCCTAAATTCTCACCCATGGAGACGAGTCAAGTCCCAGCCTGGCCAGGACTTGGTTAAATCAAGTGAGAGGTATTCTGTTGGATGCCTTGCACACACATACCTGGCCCTTTCATGAGAGATTTTATCCCAGGCAGATTTGTGGTTGGTGTTGAGGACAGTCACAGGATAATCCTATAATCCCGTATTCCTCAAAACAGTGTCATTTATTGCATAAAAATGGATCGGACAGCACAATTATACTGCATTTTTTACTGTACAGAGATTTTTTTTTTTAACTGAGGAATCATGTTGATCACGTATAGTAAATGGAATATACTTTGCAGTTTATGCAACTGACATTTTCTGCAACATGGCTGAGAATCTGTTCTTGTAACAATCAAACTTTCTAGCATTTCTTTTTAGGGAAGTTCACCAATTTTATAAAACCTGCTTTAGAGGTTTTATAAATAGGAGCATAGAACCCGAAGCAAGCTGGACCTGTTGTCCCTCCGTTCAGCAGAGTGCCTTTCATTTTCCTTATTTGGAAGTGTCCTCTCCCTTAGGTGACCTCTGAGGTCTGGGCTTCTCAACCTTGTCGGAAAAAGTGGTTCCTTGTTTTTCTTTCTCTACTCTTCTTGGTTTGCCTCCTCACAACCTTTGTCCCGACATCCCTCAGTTCTCCTCCAGCTTCCCAGCCCAGCCCTGAGCAGGTGACCTGCGCCTGCTTCCAGCAGGAGGAGAAAGAGTATAGAGTCTGTGCTGTCACCTCTCTCTGATCAGAATCTCCCTACACTATTGTTTTTTCACGTCTTCCTTTCCTTTTGTTTCTGAGAAAGAAAGGGCCCTTCTGCTTGCCAAGACAAAGCACTATGTTCTGGGTTACCTCCCTATTGGGTTGGAATCACTTTTTTCTTTCTTCACCTTCTCTCTTCTGTTTACAAAAGTACACAGATATGCTCATTCTTTAAAAAAAAATGTAAAAGAAAACAAAACCTTTCCCTTATTCTTGTTACTGCCTGTGTCTACTTTTTTTAAAGATTTTTATTTATTTATTTGACAGACAGAGATTACAAGTAGGCAGAGAGGCAGGCAGAGGGAGAGAGAGGAGAAAGCAGGCTCCCTGCTGAGCAGAGAGCCCGAAGCGGGGCTCGATCCCAGGACTCTGGGATCATGACCTGAGCCGAAGGCAGAGGCTTTAACCCACTGAGCCACCCAGGTGCCCCATGCCTGTGTCTATTATTATATCTCCTGCCTTCTTTACATTGGCAAACATCTCGGACTGGTAGCCTATAATCACTGCTTCAATGCCCACACATGCCTTCAGCTTTTGAAATCTGGCTTCTTTCTCCACCATCCCACTAAGAATGGTTCTCTAGAAGGTCACTAAGCCTCTTGTTTGTCAAACCCAGTGACCTTTTCTCTGAAGTCTCTAGAATCAGACATTGTTTATTATCATGTTCTTGAGAATTGCTGCTGCTTTGGCTTTGAGAATATCTTTTTTTCTTTTTTTAAAAATCTGTTTTTCTGACCAGTCTTTCCTCCTCCTTCAGAGATCTTGTTTCCTATTCCTGTGACTTTAGGGGTCACTTCTACATAGATAAGCTCCCAATGTTTATCTGTTTATCTCCAGCTCTGGCCTATCACATTTCAGACCAGCATTTCCCCTGCTTGCTACACATTTCCTCCTGAGCCCAGGATCTGGACATACCTGATCTCTTCCTTAGTTCCTCTCCTGTGTTTCATATCAGCCAGAGTTCTCAGACTTTTGATTCTTTTGCTTCAGATTCAGACACTGGCAAACTCTGACCCTTCTCCTGCCATCTTATTTCATGTCTTCCCCCCCTTTCCATTCTAACAGCTACTTTGGTTTCGGGTTCTCGTCTCTTGATTGGATCTCTGTCCCTGCTTCTAGTTCTACCCTCGTTTGTCCCACAGACATTCCAGGTTATATAGCTCCAGTACTGGCATTTTCTTGCTCAAAACCTTTCCATGGCTTTGAACTAGTAAAGGAATTAAGTACAGATGCATCATTTGGCATCCAAGACCTTTGCAAAAACTGAAATGGAAATTTCATTTTCTACAAGTTTTTGGGAAATACCCCAAAGCCAAAACAAACTAATGGTCGACAAAACTATACTGTCCCTACATTTTAGTTTAAGAGTTCTAAGAAAAAGAACTATTTTTAAAAAATAGCACATATTTTTTTCCCCAGCTTTAACATAGAGTCATTTTTGGATTTGCTCTTCCTCTCAATTACAAGGTAATTTTCATTTGAATTTACTTAGCACATTCCACCTCATATTATAATTATGGCTATTTTTGTCTTGCTCTCTTTCCTATGCTGTAGTCTTTCAAACGCAGAATATATCTTACTCATCTTTGTGTACTTCTTGTTCTCTGGCACATGGTGCTTACTTCATGTTTGCTAACTTGAGTGAAGAGTTCATAAAGCCTTACCCCAACTATATCCCTTTAACAAAATCAACTACAACTCAAACTAAACAAAACCACTGAATTCTGTGGTTCTCGTTGACTCCGAGGTGAGGTGGTTTGCAGCTGAGGTTCAGGAAGGGGAAGCTGGAGGTACTCAGAAGCTCTTAAAATACTTTCAAAGTGAAATGTGGGTTGAACCATTTGTTCTTACATAGTAATGTGGTGTTTAATCTACAGTTGTGTTAATTATGTTTGAGATTAAGTGTTAAGTTTTGTACTCAAATGACTATTGCGGTTTAAACTCAATTTATTGACAAGTCCTTGACCAAATAATGTTCTGGGAAGACGAGATTCTTGAAATTCTCTGTCACGGGAATAGCTGTGAAGAAGGTTGCTGGTGAGGGGTAGCTCTACAAGGTATTATTTAGTGGCCATAGTAAGGCTATACACATATCCTTAACTTTTTATGAGAATAATACCGTGAGTAGTTTTACCAAATGAAGTCTCCCAGTTTCATAAATCCAGTTAAACGCCCAGTAATTCTTCTTGTTGAAGCTGAAGTGTCCAATACCACTGCTAAAGCCCTATCACAGTGCTACAGTTCTTCCACAGGTAACTTAAAGCGGTCTACAACTCTTCAAGAGTTGTTGCACTTTATGGTCTTCCAAATTCTTGAAATACAATTTTGAAGTGTGAAAAACTCAAGGCGAAGTCCCACTAAGAAAAACCAAGCTCTCCAGCTGGAAAAAAAAGGCTTAAATGACTTATCTATTTGGCTAAATTTAAAGTAAAAGAACTACACAAAATACATCACCCTAGAACATATTCTGTTTGAGACGTGGGCTCTGGGAATTCTCCTAGCAGTACATCCAGGGTTGTAATTTAACCTCTGTCTTAATTTACAATTTACAGAAAAGGTCATCATCTCCAGGCTACAGAAAAGGCAACCGTGAGAGAGGTAGGAGATCGCAGAAGAGAAGGGAAAGCAAAGTCTCCATGGCTTAGACTTAAAAATTTTTTTGAGGTGGAGCTGGCATAGAATTCCATGGCTCCATCATGTTTGTGCACATCATAATTGTGCGTATGTAACATACATATTACAGACACATACACACGTAGAAATGGATATACGCCCCGAAGGTAGGGTTTACGTAAAAAATAGACATTGTAAAAAATTCATCTGTAAAACCCTAAACATCGATCTTTCCTGATGTCTTGCAAAGAGTTTGTATCAGAGCGAGGAGGTAAACCTCGAGGAGGTTTGTATTAGAGCGAGAATCTGTCACTGAGTAACCCGGTAGACCTGAGACCCGGGGTGGGCTGGAAGTCGGGCGAATCGGCGGCACCGACAGAGCAATGGGAGCCGGCCAGCCGAGCTGCCGCCTCGGGCCCGCCGCCGGCGTCCCCCTGCTCCGCGCACGTCGTGCCGCCCCTTCGCCTCTCAGATTGCCGGGTACGGGACCCAGGGCCCGCAGACCGACCGGCCGCAGCCTCACAATCGGGGCCCGGCGCCGGCATGACGTCACCACCCCGCAGCCCGCCTCCTGCGCCGGGAAAGAGGCGGCCGCCCATTGGCTGCGCTGCTGGCGGCCGCCGGGCCAATGACAGGGCGGCGAGCGGCGGGGTCCCGCCCTGACGTTGTGCTGCTTGCCGTGGGGTTTATTTGGCTCCGGGGCCCCTCGCCGACGCCATTAGGAGCCGCAGCGCCCGAGGCCGATCCCCCACCACTCTTCCCCCTCTTCCCCCGAAGCGCCCCCCCCCCCCGCCTCCGCGCCTGCTCTCCGCGCCTCTGCTCCCTCTCCCCCCAACCCCGCCCGGTAGTCCGGAGCTGCGCGCGGGCCCGCGGAGACCATGTCCTGACTGAGGGGAGAGGGCGGAGGCGGCAGCAGCGGGACGGGTGGCGGCACGGAGGGAGGCGGAGAGGGGCCGGGCTCGGCTCGTCGCCGCGGGCTGCTCGGGGGAGTCGCCGCCGCCGCCGCCGCCGCCGAGCGCTGAGCATCGGACGGGGAGAAGGAGCAGGAGCTGGAGGAGCCGCCGCCGCCAGGTAACCGGGCCCCAGTAGGGCGCCCCACTGCAGGCCCTCGCGGCCCCCTCTGCGGCCTGCTCGGCCCCTCGCTCCCTGGTGGCGCCCAGGCCGCCGGCTCTCCGGGGCCGCCCGCCCGCGCCCCCTGGGGCGGCGTCGCGGGCGAGGGGACCGACGCGAGGCAAGGGGGCCGGGTGGGCCGCAGCCGCGCTCCCAGCTTGGGCTTTCTCGGCGCGGCGACAGGCCCGGGGCTGTGGGAGGGTGGGTCCGCCGAGCTTGTTTACCGACCATCGATCCGCCGAGGCTGGACGCGCTGCCCGCCCTGCCACCTCTCTTCCGCCAGATTCCCCCCTCCCGCCCCCCAACTTCTTTTCCTGCCACCTACGGGCGGGTGAGTGGGGCTTCGCTCCTACTCTGCAATAGGCCGTAATACTTGCTTCCATCTCCACAAGTTGGTGCTGGTCTCCAAACTTGTATTGCAGCCCTGTGGCCGCTTCCTCTCCGCCTCCCAAGGTGGCCTCCGGTTGGTGCCATTTCTAAGGAAATAGAGGCGGTGGGCGACGAGGGTGGGCTGGGGAGGAGGAGCTGGGACTGGGGGAAGAATCGTCTACCCCTCGCTCGTCGTAAAGATTGTTCAGTGCAAGTATCTTTATTTTCTCCGCAGTGGTTTGGTTTGGGTTATTGCACAGACAAAAAGGACTGTAATGAATACTTGTGTTAAGCACAAGGGACGGGCAGTTTGGGTTCACCGTGGAAGTTTGAACCGGCCCATTATCTTTGAGATGCACTGGTGTTTTGAAACTCTCTGGCTGAGAATTTTGAGTTCCTGTCGATCGAGTCTCCTTTTCCATGAACTCCATAGACTCTCAGGTTAAGCGTCATTCTCTCTGCTCAGTATTTTGGACTGTTTGCTCAGTAAATTTAACATACAAGAACATTGTTTTAGGAACACAGTTGAGAAACCCTTAAGTCTTGAAAACCTTATATAATGAGTAGTTCTCTCTGTGGTCTCTTTTTTAGTTGACTTTATCACTTGTGCGACCTCAAGGGTACCCGTGTTTTGATCAAACACGGATGACTCAGTGTACAAATCTTATGCCAAGGGGAACCATAAAGAATTTTGATCTTGGTTTGCGCCCAGGGCCTTGGGAAAGTCACATAAATTGTGTGAAAAATAAAGCCGAATCTCGTCTCCTGGTGGTTATTAATTAAATGAGGTAATTCTAAAGAACTTTAGAACCTTGCTCCCTCCTGATTTTTGGATCTTAAGATACGCATTCACTTACTTATACTAAAATTTCTTGACACTGGTTTTATTGGGCTATTAGGGAAACTAAAAGGACGGTACTGACACATTTTAACCTTTGGGGAGGATAGTTGAATGTCATGAGGGATTTTTATTTCTGTTGATGTTTCAGCACCTTCTACTAATGCTTCAGAGCTTTGAGACACTCATATTTACTCTTGAAATGTGCTTGGGTTACTAGGATGAACTCATTTTTGGTGGTGTATTTTCAACCTAGGGCCTTAATCCCCCTCTGTACGCGGATTAAGGCTTATGGCATATCACATTTAAGGGCTGAGGGTAACACAGTTCTGGAACTCAGGATCCAGTTGTACAATATTTGGGGTAAATTGCCTCCTGTGTGTAATTGTTCAGTGAGGGCTTTTCAATGTACTTTACACTTCTGTTGCTTTTATAATAAGTGGAAACTTTAAATGGGAGTTGGAGAAGTGGAGTGCTTAGGTTTTTATTTAACTTGCGTAAGTTTTATTATTTGAGCATTGCTGCTGTCTCCCTTCTTCCCAGTAATAAACTCTTAGGCCTGGGTTTTGAACACATTTTCTCCCAGTGATATGCAGTCTCATTTGGAATATTTGTGCTTACTTATGCTTTGGGTAAATAATATCTCAACATTTTAACACTCTCATCCCCTCACATCACAACATAAAAACTTCCGTAATGCTCATTACATGCAAAGTAAGTTGTAAGCTTCTTGATGTAGTGTTCAAGTTTCTTTGTAATCTGGACCTGATCCACCTCAGTCTTAACTCCTGTTTCTTCCCTTCATGGATCCTTAGTTCTAGCCAAACTAACTTGTTTGTTGCTGCTGTGGAGTCCCTCCTCTTGGCCTTTCTTTGTGCCTTTTTTTTTTTTCTTTCCTGTTTGAAACCGTCTTCTGCTGTATTCATGGATACTCTCTTTACTTTGGGCCCAGTTGAGTCCTGTCTCTTGAGAAGCCTTTCTGATTACAACCTCAGGGGATCTGTTCACTTCTTTTTCTGTGTGGGACTCTTTTTTTTTTCTTAGCATATGCTAGGCTGGATTTCAATATATCTTTTTACTTTTTTTTTTTTTTTTAAGATTTTATTTATTTATTTGAGAGAGAGAAGGCCAGAGGGAGAGCATGAGAGGGGAGGGAGAAGAGGGAGAAGCAGGCTCTCCACCGAACAGGGAACCCGAGCCGAAATGAAGGCAGTCGCTTAACCAACTGAGCCACCAAGTGCCCCACTTTTTATGTTTTTGTTATTCTCCCCAATTAGACCTCTGAGAAATGGGTATGAATTCTTTTTCTGTGAGGACAGTATATTCAGCATTGAAATACGGATACATGGTTTGACAAAATATTTTTTGTTATAGATGTGTTCTAGGATATGCTGTTTGTAGTCTTCTGAGTAGTGGGGTTTCTGGAATTTTGATGATTTATGAAATAAAATACTTGAAATTATGTCCGTCTCTTAAAATTTTTTTTTTTGGGGGGGGTCAGTATGTTTATTTCTATTACTAGTTTGGTTTTCTTCCTGGAGCATGTGCTCAACAATTTGGTAGTCATGTATTATTCAAATTACAGTAAGTACTGCAGTTCTGTAATTTCCTTCAGATTTGAGTCTCTCGCAGTTACTTGCTTTGCGGTTTGCGTTTCGCACCAGTGACACTAAGGTAGGTCGTCCCGTATTTGTATACAGGTAACATTTAGCATCATGAGAAGGAAAAAATAATCTGTAGTCTGTTTGCATCCTTAACCTCAGATGTTGGCAACGTGTGTCATTGATCATGAGGCAGATGAGACACAGGAGAATGTGTGATTCACTGCTACCTGTCAGCGCTGTTGGAAGAAAACACAAACAAGCCTGTCCATAGTATTTTTGTATACCAAGGATAAGCTGTAATTATATAGTACATGGGTGGGTGCTGGTGTATTTGGAAAATAGGTGTATATGTTTCTGTTGCGTGTGTGAGTAGGAGGCTTGGTATTTTATGGATACGTAGTCTCTTAGCAGTAAACAATCTTGATTTATCCACTGCATGTATGCGGGAACTTGGCCTCTTTGTCCAGTTCATCAAAATATTTTTTCCTTGTAATTGATGGATTTTTTTTTTTAAGAAAGTAGTTTACATAAAAATGTTAGCGTCAGAACAACCTTTTTAGCATAATCGAAGCTGAAATTAGTCTGTTTAGGACCTTTCCAGACATACTAAGAATTTTTACTTAGGCTATTTGCCTTTGTAAAAGGCACTTCCGTGGAGTTGATACCAGTAATTTTACTAGTTGAGAAATCTGGATCAGTAAGCATTCTTTGCTTTCTGGGAGGGTGGTATTTTGGTTAAGATGAAATTTTTGACAAGAGACAACAGTTTGAATTTTAAAATGGATGTTGGTCAGGTAAATTGAATATAAAGTTGATAATTTTTCAGCTGCCTAGTGAATTTAACTTTTCAGTAATGAAAAAACGAATTTCCTTTATTTTTATAGTTCCTATATTAAGGGTAGGCTGTCTCACTCTCTCCTTAACCAGTACAACATAATTTTGGTTTTTCACCATTTGGTAAGTCAGAATTTTATGTGGCTTGAATTCATGCAAATAAAAAAATACTTGAATACATAAAGTTTGTGGGAATCTGTTGCATATTTTCCATTTTTTTTTAAAATAACAGTTTGAAGTTTATTTCATATGCCATGAAAGTCATTTTTTTTTTTTTTTAAGATTTTATTTGAGACCGAGAGTATATGTGTGAGCAGGGGGAGGGGCAGAAGGAGAGGGAGAAGCGGGCTCCCAGATAAGGAGGGAACCCCACATGGGACTTGATCTAAGGACCCTGGGATCATGACTTGAACTGAAGGGAGACACGTAACCAGCTCAGCCACCCAGGTGCCCTGAAATTCACCCTTTTAAGGAAGTATGTAATTCATTGGTTTTTAGTGTATTCACAAAGTTGTGTAACCATCACCACTATCCAGAACATTTCATCACCCCAAAAACTGTACCCATCAGCCAGTCATTCCCTCTTTTGCCTCAGTGTCTGGGAACCACTAATCTTTCTGTCACTATGGTTTTGCCTGTTCTCTACATTTTGTATGAGTGGAATCATACAATATGACACCGTTTGTGTCTGGCTTCATTCACTTAGCATAATGTTTTCAAGGTTTATTCATGTTGTGGCTAAAATGTATTGGTACTTTTTTATGGCTGAATAATTAATATTGTATGGACACACTGCATTTTGTTTATGCTTATCCATTCATTGATTGATGACATTCAGGTTGTTTCTACTTTTTGGCTATTTTGAAGTAGGCCGCTCTGAATAACTGTGTACAAGTGTCTGGGTGGATCTGAGTTTTCATTTCTCTTGGGTATGTACCTGGGAATAGAATTGCTGGGTCATATGGTGACTCTGTCAAGTGGCAGCAGTTCACTTTGATTGGAATTCTGAAGGGAGGACATCATTTCTGTGGTTTTTAACAAACACACTTCTAAATCCTTTGCTTTTTTTGGTCAGGGTGGGTAATATGTTATTATAAATTTTTACTATAAAAACTCGTTTTTTGGTGTTTAGTAAGACTAAAGTTTGTTTTCACATGGGAACTACAGTAATTTGCAGAACTAATTTTTGCCTAATTTTTTTTTGAAGTGCTACCCAAAAAATGCTATCTAGTCAGTAAATACTAGTAGAATATTTCATTGCTTTTTATTGCCTAAATGATGAGTAAGTGACTTGCAGAGTTGACATTGTTTATAGA